GGTGTATGTGCAATGAATGGTAAAGTATATGTTGTTGGTGGTTGTGATACTTGGAATTGTTTAAACACTGTCGAGTGTTATGATCCAGAGACAAATTCATGGTCATTTATTAAACCAATTATTACACCTAGACGTGGTTGTGGACTTGCGCATATCAAAGGTCAACATTAATTTTTTTATTATAAATCTTGCTCATTCAACCAAAAACTAAATTCATATAATAATATATTTATTATATTTTTACAGGAAAATTATATGTTGTTGGTGGTTCTGACGGAACTCAATCACTAGCTACTACTGAAATGTATGATCCAAACGAAAGAGTGTGGATTCCAGGTCCAAACATGATAACACCCCGTGCTAATGTAGGAGTTGCTGTGGTTGGGAATAGATTGTAAGCTGTTGGGGGTTTCTCTGGTAATTATTAATACATTTTAAAACATTTATGTTACTTGGTGTCATTATTTTTAATTTTTTTTTTTTAGGTAAAAAATTCTTGAATAGTATTGAATTTTTGGATGAATCCATGGATGAATGGACCAGATTTAGCCCAAGAAATAACTGTTCAAAATCAGCATCTCCACTTCCAACAACTGATACAGTCTGTAATTTTAATGATTGTGAATTTTTAAATGGTTCTTCTAATGGTATCTCAGAGTAAATTAAAGAAAAGAATTTTTTTTTATACATACATATATATTTTTTTTTCAAACATTTTGTATTTAAATAATATTTATTTTAACAGTGTTGTTCTTTTACAACGCTCACAGTGAATTCCCTATCTGACCCGTCTTTAGGGATAACTCTGGAAAATTTTATAATACCTAAAACTGCTGACCAATCTTACACTATCGCTATTTTTTATTGAAAAAAAAAGTATTTTCTTATTTTTTTTACCTAACACATAATTTATAATCTTATACATTTCTCAGTAAATCTATAAAATATAATATTTAATAGTTATTACTAAGAATAATTACAGTGAATAAGGAAGAATTCAATATGCCTTTAAATTAATTCTTTACCTTTTTTTTATCCCATTCAATATCCCATTACAAAATATTAATTAATAATACCATGTGTATTCACATGGATAATGCAATAATATGTAAATTAAGTTCAAGTTATCGTCAATTTGTATTAGCCAAAAAAAATATTAAAATATTGAACACTGTCACCAGTCTTAAATACCTTGATAAATAATATATATGTGTGACTATGGATAGTTATGAATTTTTAGATATTAGTAATTATTATATTTAAGAACCAAGTTTCAACTGTGAATTGGCTATTTACCAAATAATTTATATTAAACCAGCAATTTAAATAATGAATATATTTACACTATGGTCGAGTACTTACTCAAAGTGACAAATGTTTGATGATTTAAAATAATTATCTTGAACACAATAACTTAGGCCACGACCTTATTTCAAGAATAAAACATCTTGGGAAATGTAAATCCTAAGAGGTTAAAATGAAATTTAAAATACTATTTTACTTTATTATTTGTTCTTAGTATTTTATCGTTTTATTGTAATGGACTCAGGAAAAAATACATTTAAAATATATTGAACACAAATATTGTTACTAAGAAACAAAAAAACTTTGATGTATTAATTGTTCAGAAACATCACTTGGTTTAGTTCCTGAATGTATTTTATTATTTAACAAATAGTTGATTTTAAGCAATAAATATAATAACAGAATTTACTATGTTAATGATTGTCAAACAATTGTATATTTTTTTTTATTTGATTGGTTTCAAAAACCTAAAAAGTTAAGAATAAAGTGAAATGTGTTTAATTATTACTTTGTTTTAATATGAGAATAAAATAATGTCTGCATCCTCATACTTATTTTTATGGTTATCCGGACTCGGAAATAGTGAGTATGTACTAGGTATAGTACCTGTATTATTTTTAAAATTGTAAGAAAATCAGTATATGAGGTATATTTTCATTGGGAAAATTCCCTCCTGATAAGACACAGAATAACCACAGAATAGATAATATATTGGTAATCAATAAAGATTTACATATAAGTCCCCCTTGAGTCAATTATTTTATTATTTATGCTGATATGTTTTTATTAGTTATTTCATACTGGAGCTATATTACTTTTTTTTAAATACAGATTTTGGGGAAAAGCTAAGGAGGTTTGATCATAGCATTTAGAAAAATTCCTATTTATTATTTATGCTGACAGTGTTAAGTAACTTATCACACAAAAATCTTGTTTTTTTACTTAAATAATTGACTGTAATAAAAGTAACAAATATTAAGGTACTGGGCACTATAGGTGTAAACTGGAGATGTTATGAGGGGGAAATTGCTCCCCATTTTTAAAATAGTAAGGGGGGCAAAATTTTTTCTTTAAACATTTTATTTATTTAAATTATTTTGGGTTCTTTGTTATATTTTATATGTACCTATATATGAATAAAAAAAAAACCAATACATTCAATACTCTTGATTCAAATTAAATTTAATTGTTGACTTTAATTCCATTAAAAATATTTACCAAAGTGCTTGATTTTTGATAAACTATTAAAAGCACTAAAAACTTTAAATACGCTCTTATAATCAAAAACATGTCCCAAAATGAACCCAAAAAAGTCAAAATATATTTTTTTTAAAGTTCCCTGGGGCTTTATTATTTAAATGACCCAAAGGTCTTTATAAATATGTTGACCAATTATATATATTTCACATATATATATATATATGTATATATTTTACTAGTTGATGGAGTCACTCCAAATGAAGTGGCTCCTGCCTAATCTAAAATTTTTAACTAAGTTGTTTGGTTTTAGACGCTTAAGATGTCAGATGTCCTTGAAGTTGTCTAATAATTTGATGGCCAATGGATTGACATGGTGATCTAGTGTCATCTCCTGTTTGCTAGCAAACCTTTGGATTTTGTCTGCCATGTAATCAGCATTATGTCGCGTTGAATTGTATTTTTTCTTTCCAACCGGTAGACTGCAGTGCTGGTCCGAAGGGCAATGTTTTGACAGTGTTGCATTACAATTACATCAATGTTAGACTTACTAGCTGGTCTTACTTCTTTTGAGCTTTGGTTTTCAGCTGGCTATTTTCAAGTCCGTCCAATTCCTCATTTAATTTTGTTAATACTGGCATAACGTCAGATAACGACTGTACATTATTTTTGTTGTGTATGGGTTTGAGTCAGTGGACCCTTACAATTTTTGTTCGAAGAATTAGCCATCTGTGCAAAAGAGACTTCTTCAGTGACTGTTTTCACAGGATTTTGTTGTATTCTTTGTACTGCTGTAGTTTTTTTTTAGGTTAGTTTTTTCTTCTGGATTTTTATAGGTGATGCATCCTATGACCTTTCCAATTTGCGCTTTATCCTTCACCACAGTTTGCGCATTTCACCTTTGATTTTTTAGACTTAAAGCAATTTAGCGAAGTGTATCCTTCTGTCACTTTAGTGTTTTAAAACAGTAGTTTTGAGTGTGACAAATTTTTGCATTTTGGCACTTCTTTTTTCCTTGGAGATTCCACTTTTATAATATGATAGGTACCTAGCACACATTTTTTATATCATAAAATATGTCTGCTGTTTGCTTGTGGCTCCCAATCCAAAATGAAGAATGGAAGACTTACAGTTGTTTGATCACTAAACTTCTTGTTAGGGTCGACTTTTTTAAAAATTTTAATGTTCGTAACATTATGTACCAGATGGCCTTGTTTAGATAATTCGATTTTATTGTCACAGAGGTCAGTTTCAGGGTGTAATGTCGTAAATATACGTATACATGTAACTGCCCAACTTACGGCAGATTCACCCTTACAATGTTATGCTGTTTATTTGCAAATTTTATACTTAAGTTACATTAATTGAGAATCCGGCATTTATGCTGTTTACTTGTTGATACTGAATAATTTTACTTTTAATTAATGGTAATCAAGGTAATATGTTGATAATCTATGGATATAGATGACTTTATTTAAATATACATTTTATTAGGAGTATCACTTCTTTTTCTCAGAATTGAATAAAAAAATTACAAATGAGATATCAAGCATTTTTCCTAGTTTTATTCAAATAACATTAAAATACTATGTTACTTTATGACGTTATTAGGTAGGTACATCATAACTTCCTTTGAAATTATATTGTTACTTCAACAATAGAAATTAATGAGATTCCACTTCAATTAGTAATAAGTAGTAATGCTGCTGATTGTCAACTAGAAAAAAAAATGTATGAAAGTAATGAGTTTACAAAAATTCAATAATTGAACGTGTTTTATAAACATCAAAAATACTCTGTATTGTGGTAACGGATCCTGGAATAGTTCATATTTTAAGTCTTACAAAATATTAAGCTAATAACTTATGCTATTTTATAAAAAAAAAATATTGATATAAATAAGTAAATTTAAAGTTATACAATTCAATTACAAGTACTATTGCTATCACAACATTGAACATTTTGATATATTTAGAGATTGTGGGACCATATTTTAGATACATAAGTATTATCTAAATTCAAATATAATGAATAATTTCATACATTTCAAATGCATAAATATAAGGGTTAAAGATGTAGATGATCAATTACTTTATTTGTATAGTTGAAAAAATATGGAACCAGCAATTACTAATAAAAAAAATTTTATGTGACATTATTTTGTTTGAGATCATACATCGCACTTTTTAAAATTTATATTAAATTATCTAATTAAGTAGTTTTAACTAAGTTACTGAATATTAAAATAAAATTAGATAGAAAATAATTATTAATAAAATAAATAGACAGTGGTAATTAAAATTGTCAAGTTTCTATATAAATAAATAAATAAATATAATTTTAGTAAATTAATTAACTGTACAACAATTAATGATGTGCTTAAACATTTAAATAAATATAATATTAAGAACACTTTTAACAAACATTTATAGCAAGAAAAATATATTGCTATGTATATACATAAAACTATATTTCAAATTAAAAACTACTTGAACACATTTTTTTTTCCCCCAAAAAGATTTGGAAAAACTTAACATTTTATATTTAATGAAACTTGACTTCATACTTAAAAACTAGTTGTATAGGACCATACAAATTAAATGTTCTAGCCTCAAACTAAATATGCCACATACGATTAGATATTGTGTACACATAATATATTATATTTAAATGAGTATTTTTTTTTTGTTTTTGTACACTGAGATTGGGTATGCAATACAATTTTTAAATTTTTAAATACTGTTAGTCATGGTAAGAGACTGATTGGTTATAAAAACACATTAAGGCCACTGGGTAGGACGTGGCAACTAATTTTCGTCATACATCATTTTCATTGTCATTCTTATAAAATGTTATAGAAGCAATATGCTGATTTTGCATAACTTCAAATACCATATCTTGGTAACCGTAGCAAAATGTTGATCCAAATGGATTGGTAGAGTTTTCAGATGATCCACGATTTAACACAACAGGTCTTTCACTATGTTTTAGTCTTTCAGATATCTCGTCCCATTTGGTAAATGTATTCACGGTGATTGGCTTTGGTTTTTTATCATACTTTTTACAGTCATTCGACAGATTGTATTTTGATTTTTCTGAAGTCAAAGCAATGTAGAATTCACATCTATGATAGCTAGAAAAAAGCCACCAATAGTTAAATCACTACTAAAATATTTTAATTTTTAAATACTTACATATTGAAATTATAATGACCAGGAAAATTAGTATGCACAATGAATTTTTTTATCTTGTGTGTTTTGGCATCAAAAAGAATATCCTGTAAATTATTTTTATAAATATTAAACTAATCTTTTTAATTAAAAATATTTTACTAAATAGATACTAACAAAACCCAAGGTAAAATAATTGAAAAAGTAATCCGATCTTCTGGGAACAGATATGTGTCTATGGACATTTGGTGAATGTATTTTCATTTTGTCCTCAGATTTATAAAAAACTTGTGAAGGGGTGCCTAACATAGAAGTAACATCTTGACATGACATTCCAAAATTAATTTCACGATTATACGTGACTTTACGACCACGGTTTGAACCTATATTAATCAGTTGATTTCAAATTAAAGACTATTCAAATCAATAATTTTATTTAACATTACCAGAGCCTTCCAAGTATAATTGTATCATAAATCCTTTCGTATTTTTAAGATCTCTTTGAACTTCTAATCGTTCTAAATAAGTTAACCCTTTGTAGCAAGATAACGGATGTGATGGAATATTCAAAATATCTTGACCAGGAAGTGGACTCCCAGAAAATATAATAACACGACTAACATTTGGGGAAGTTCCACTAGCAAACTGCAAAGATCCAAGTCCACACTGAGCACTACCAGCCTTAAAAAAAAAATTACAATGTTAATTATTATAGTGTCAGTGTTTATAAAAATATAAATTATACCTGAAATTTAGAATCTACATTAAAACAAAATGAAATTCCTCTAAAGTTTAATGTAAATGTTTGTTTTTCAGCATCAAAAACACCAGGATGAGTAGCACCAAATGTATGTTCTACTTGTTGGATGGTGGGCATCACCTCTGGAGCATTAAACACCATACCACTATATAATTTATAAAAATAATAAAAGAGAATTTATTTTAGTTTTTGAAACTAAGTAAGGTATGAAAAGTATATGAACAAAAATATATATAACTGTGAATACTTGCCAATATTTCAGTTTAATATTTTTCAGGTTAACAATTTCAATCACCTAAAAATATTATAAAGCAAAATTGGCTAGGGTTATATTATTAAGACATTATAGATTAGTTTACCTTTAAACGCTGAAATACAGGATGAAATATAAATCGAATACCATCTTGAGGAAGGTCTAATATGAGATCAATATCTAAAGGGTTCTGTATAATTTTAAGAACATATATTATTAAAGTTAAATTATAAAACTACTAGAAATTAGGTACCTACCTTATCACTATACAAAACTTGAACTCCTTTTATAATGCCAACTTGAGACTGAATTATTGCTACAGCTTGACAAAAATGCATACCTAATATCAAAAACATATTGTTTAGGTACTTATTTTATTATGTTTTCTAAATAACATTTGTTTGTGATTTATTAATTGTAGAAATAAATCAGTGCTATATTTAAATATTTACCAAAACCCATAAGATTTCACATTTCCAAATTAAAAAAATATAATAATTTAGGAAGAAAAAAGTTTTTTGACTAAATAGTCAGATGTAAGTGATAAATATCTCTTTGTCAACAGGTTGTAATGCAATACTATGCTGAAATCTACTCAGTCTTTTGTTAAATGATCACATTCTAAATGGTATCCCGTATAAAAACCACATAATCTGGGAAAAATTCAACACAACTACAGATATTGTTTTGACGAACTACAATAAGCCAAATTGTTCAAGATCTGAGTGTATATGTCAATCCTCGACGATTTTTGAGAACTTTGTGGTGAGCGCGAACCGTAAAAAACGAATACAATATCATTGTGGATACTTACCCAGGACGAATTCCCATTGTTCACATCCCAGAGACCTCTCGGGCACGACGTCCAACGTCAACATTTTTCTCTCACACCTAAATGACCTAATGTTGAAGATAAATAAAGAAAACCATAAACGCTAACACTACAATATCGAGCTACGGCTGAGCTAAAAAGACGTCAGCCTCCGAGAGAGAGAGTTGCGGCAATGACATAGGCGCATAGCAGGCTGACGACGTCCGTTAGGGAAAGAACAAAAAAAAATAAAAAATTGCGTAAATGACCGATTGGCCTTTAAACGACGGAACGATTATAATAATATTACAACAGCGCAAGGAAACGATCACGAACGTATTTATACAATTCTCTAATATCAAGTACAAATAAATCAGCTGCTGCTAACTGCGAAATAGCCTATTAAAAACACAAACTGCTACTGCAGTACCGCGGCGGGCGTAGGTATACCTATATCGTATATATTATTATACAACTCGGTCGCGTAATCAGTATATGGTCGTCGGTAATCAGCTGACGGAACATAAACATTAAACGCGGCGTAGATGTGCGGGCGGCGGACGACGTACCAACCTTGGTCGGCGGGTGTTGCGGGGGTGTTGTAGGCAACGGTTGTTTTTGTTATTGTTCGCAATCAAGCCCGATCAAGGTGTACAACCACAGATTCGAGTATAGATAGGTATAGATGATCATTTTTTAACCCATTATCTGTATCAGCTGACTAGTGTCCTATGTTATTATTACTATCATTACTATTATGATAAATTAATTATCTATCCGCTGTGGCCATCATTCAACATCGTATTTATTAATCCATATTAATTTTTTACGTATGTCTGGCGTGTAAGCATCACCGAACCCTCGTCGATCTCAGTGGGCGCAGTCAGCACTCGGCAGTCACTACAAAGTAGTCAGTAGGTAACCTACCACCAACTTTCGGCTCGATTAGTCTTGTCATGGGCACATTCGTCAATTTCAATCGCTACATATATTATAGCTGTTGAGTGCTGGAAACTGCAGCCATAATTCTGTTGTGAGTTGTCCGTCGACTTTCATTACCTATAGTTATATCCCCTTCGCTCGTCAGTTATTGTTTCTATGTGTTAATCAGTTATGCGCGGTGTGATCGTTGTCTGACGCATTGGCTCAATTTGGCGGGAGGTACTTGGGGCCGGCCTAGGACTCCCAATTTGAAATTACCACTCTCATAACTTCTCCCGTTTATAGACTTGAGGTTAATTAGTTCCTAACTATTATGTCAACAATATTAATATGTACAGAACAGGGGTGGAATGAACTTAATTTCAACCACTGCCACCCCACAATTTACTTATAAGTCATAATTTACTTAATACTTATAACCAAGTGATGATGAAAATAAAGTGTTGCCGAAAGAGGTCGGGACCACAAATAAGTATTAGTATATATCTCAATATCTGTGGGTCGGACATAGACTTCGGCGCCACTGCCATCACCCTTTTCAAAAGTTTCATAGCACTATATCTTCTATTCATAGACCTTATACTAAGCACTACTAGTATAAGGTCTATGCTTCTATTCCGTCCTGTCACGATGACAATTTCGTGCCCCCGTTTGTCATAAAAAATGTAACGAATTTTGCGGCTTTGCGCTCCTCCACTCTTTCAATAGGTTGCGCCCCTGACAACTGACAAGCACCACCTGGCTAGGCCCTCGAATCAGCTCTGTAAAAGTGATAACACTGATAACAATGAATATTGATATTTTATCGTGATGGTGTCCGAAACTCGAAAGTTCGGGCTACAGCTATTTATAATTGTAAAATATGGTTATTGCTTATGGGTTGCCCATCGACCCATGATTCTCGTGCTTAAAAAGTGAAATGAATATCTACAATCAGTATTGAACAGCTGGAAATTGCCGCACTCGCGCTGTTTATATTATGTATAGTGCTTATACCATCATAGAATAACTGTTATTCTATGCTTAAACTATCTTTATTCTTAGATTCGAATAAGATGGGTTTGTTATCCAATAATCCATCTTGATCAGCATCTTTGCATATCACAGAGTTTCGAGTGTTATCACGACGATCGTGTGTGGTGTGCACAGATTTTTGTATAGTTTAGTATAAAAGTCTGTGGTGGTGTGTGGTACTGTGGTGGTCGTCCGTGACGAAGGACATGTCGAAATGTCGAATTTTTCTCGAAATTTTTTCGGACGACACCGGCTCCCCCAGGCCTCGATCGTGCTCACTAATTATTTGCGACAAACTAACGAGCCACCGTGGACGTCATTTTTCGTTAAATACACTTCGGTGATCGATGACCAAAGGGGCCGGTCTCACTTCAATTGGAAAACCGGTGACTCAAACTATCACGTTCTACGCTCCGGCTGTTTTCCGTATATTAAGTACCATTGCACCAAAAGGCCGTACGAAGACCTGCAAGTAGAGGATCGGTTGTTTAATATTTTAAAAATCGTCAATCTGGGTGAGCGACTGACGGTTTATGTATTTAACATACAATGTTTTGTGGTTTACGATTCGGAATAAACGATTGCATGAAAGTCTAATAAAAGTTTTTTTTCAGATTTCATACGTAGCTTGAATATTAACACCACAATAATTACACAATTAATGAATATCAATGTTATAGTATTAAACATTTTTTATCCATTATTAATAAATCATAGCACAATTTATTTAAAAAAATTCAGAAACCCAAATGGTTTTCATCCAATTTAATTATTAATTTTATGAAATTATATTTTATTGTATTCCATTTGTACATCATATTTAATGTTCTATAATTGTGGATCATGATTAATCATTAATGAATATTGGTTATGTTTTAGTTTTATGAAAATTAATGTTTCCTCGTTTTTTTTCAATAAGTTATCTCAGCTTAAAATTGAAATTAAATTTATGATTTGTAGATTATGTTTATCAGTTGAACTTTAATCATTAAATTATTTCACTGAAATTGCAGTAAATATTAGCTTACGTCATTTTTAATTTCTCATATATTTTAATTTAATTTTTTTATTTAAATTTTACTACTTAAAGATGAGGCATACATGCTACTAAGTTTTTCCAGCAGCCAGTTATGCATTTAATTAATTACACATAATTTGGTTTTATTCAAAATAGGTATTGAGAAAAAATTTGCAAAATTTGTGTTCTAGAAATTTATGATTGAAAAAATAACCCATAGTATTTGTTTTAAATGTACCTATTGTACCTTTAATGTACTTTTTAGACTTATTATTATTAAATAATGTAATTTTTCAGGTATACCATTGCTTTTGTATGGTTTATCTGCTGTTTTTATGATTTCATATAAAGAAATAGTGAAGACACCTGAAGGAGATGTTTATGTTTATTTTCTTTTAAAAGAAGACAAAGGTTCGACACACTAAAATAATTTTAATATAGGTAGTATGTTTTAGACCAAACTGAAATAAATGTTGTAATTCTCTAAATGATTTAATTATTTAATCTAGGTGTTAAATATATTATAAAAATGTTAATAAATTATTATAATTAATAATAATAGAAAATACTGTCAGAAAAAATATATGGCTTAAAATGTGATTAATATAAGTCCCCTGTATTATTTAACCTAACCTACACATAATTTAAAAATTTCCTTCCAAATAACAAAAATGATAATAAAACAACATATAACAATATACATATAATGAAATTGTAAACAAGATCTGTACATAATGTAAACATTCATCTCTGGTTAAAAATTAGTTTTTATTAGTTATAGTAAAGGAAAAAGTAACACAAATTGCTTATAAATTTAAATTTAATGTATTTTATATAAAAATTTACCAATAACCAACAACATTTGTAACAATTCAAATTCAGTATAACATTGTATAAACTATATAGCATCAGTATAATATAATCATATATAATTCATAGTATCTACACTAGTTTGATTGATAAGCAATATATTACTAAGATCCACCAAAAATGTGTCGTTAAAGAAATAACAATAAAATAATGATTATTATAATATACCTATCATACCAACATATTTATTTTTGGAAGTAAATATTTTTCTATAATAATTATCATTATTTAATAATAATAATAATATTATTAAATTAACAAAAATAAAGATATAAAAAATAAAATTCTAATCACAGCAAGGTAAATTAGGTTCCATAACCACAGAAAATATTCTAATCATTCTCTGGCACCATCATGGCACGTCCAGTTTCTTTAACAGTAGATTTGATAATATTTTTGGGCCCAAACTCCTTTACACTTCTAGTAAATCGTAACCCATGGCCAACTGTATCAAATGTGTCTTGAGTCACTTCACTAACGTTATTACCAAACCTTTAAAAAAAATTTACAAATGGCAAAAATATCAACACTGTTAATATATTATAATATCTTAGATTACTTGTGATGAACTATAAGAACAGTATTGTTTGAAATACTGTTACCCAGCATTATCCCAGATTTCTCAAGTCCATCATAGACAATGCTAAAACCTTCAATTGCACCTGCTGCTATATCAAACACATTTGTCATTTTCTGGGAAGCTTCGTTTTTATCCATATTAGTAACGCCCGTTAAAATTTTAGTTCCACCTTTGTGAACATGAGGGGCAAGGAATTTTCCAACAACACATGATGCCGTACCTATTTTTCCAGCTAAATAAAAGGCATTTATATTAATTTAAAATTAAAACACTTGGTCTTAATAATAATTATATTATATCATACCGACATAACATGTTACATCTGCAGCAGTACTCGTCACATTTTTAGCGACCTTAACACCTTTTTTCATAGGAGAGCAAACATGTGTATCACTTTGAGAAGGATTAATATAGTTGAGTAAACCAGGAGTAGAGTTGTTCATGAAATTTGTTGTTTTTTCAGCACCTTTCACTAATCCGTTTGATAGAAAAGTAGCTCCCTTAACAATGTGTGCTGAGATGTTGTGACCTTTTTCTCGGGCCTTTCCAGACTCTTTTCTCAATGATTTTTTAAGTATATCTTCTAATACATCTGTGAAAAGTTCCAAATGTTCTGGAAGAACTAACACACCAATAGCTGAGTTTCTATTCTCAATATCAGGAAACAGAAATGCTCCAAACTCTGTTCGAAGACATGGTGAACCATTGGCGACAAGTGGATAGTAAATATCCTCAATACAAAGGAAATATCGCTGTGTGCTTTCTCCATTTGTACCTAAACAAAAATCAAAATAATATAATGATATTCACAAATAAGTTATGAAATAATAATGATTAAGTTAAATAATATTTTTAATTAAGTAATTACCTTCGAGCATAAAAATTTTAACATTTGATTTCTCTGATGGCGATGTTACTTGACCATCAGCAGCAATGAAAAATACTTGCGAATTATCACAGCTAATTAATAGGATTGCCATTGAACTCTGTTCGATGTCGACACGTAAATCATTGAGCATTGCTGATAAATGGTTGTATGAAACTGGAGGTTCTATTTCTGAAACAGAGGACTGTTCTTCATCGGAACGGGTAGCTTCCTGATATGAAGGAGGACTTTGCATAGGTCTGCAATCTACGGCCATGTTAGAACCACTATCCCTTTGCAGCTCAACAATACGGTTTAAAATCTCTTTTCTGAAACAAACATGTATTAAAAGTACATTATAAATCGCAAAAATTGTGTACACTTACTTTTCGGTTTTCAAGTATTGTAGTATGTTGTCAACCTCCGTCCATTCAAGACTCAGGTCAGTCGGATGAGTTAGTGGAACCGAGAAGACATTGTCGATGATGTTCAGACACTGTTCGTACTCCAGCAAAGCCTACACACAGATATCAGTAAGTGCAGTTCAATCATATTAGAATAACTATGAACTCACCAGATTTGTTTTGCCTTGGGTCTCAAGATTCCTGGCTTCGCGCAGAGTGGCGAAAAATTTGTCAGTGGCGGCTTTCACGCGACCATAGAGTTCGGCGGTTTCACCATGAGCGGCCATGTTTCCAGGTTAGCAGGAATTAAACCAACGGATCAAGCACAAAACAAAATTCAAAAATATCTGAGTCGATTGCACAGAATTTAATGATGCTGTTGTGATCAAGATTGAAGACAAGTGACAACTGATTTACGAGTGACGACTACGAAGACGAGAAATGAAAGTGGCGGTATCACAGCAGATCGGTATATATTGTGAAATGTTTCGTAATGACTCGGTTCGCGTTCCTTGACCTCGCTCAGACGGAAAACGCTGAAAATCGAAATTTAAAATATCTGCTCCGGTCAGTGAGAAGTGATAACGCCCGATTGGGCGCGAGTTGTTCGATGAACACTGAAGACTGAAACACGTATTATCACTAAATTATTAATATTCTGTGACTTGTGAGTCACAGACTGTGGCTAAACACTGAACACTCGGTCAGTCGTCACTCGTTGATTGCGACTATCATTGAATATTTAAATAATAATATGATATTATTGTTGTTTTACCGATGACTCATCACCCATGCCGCCGACGATGTCATTTTTGCACATTGATGTTGGTACAGTAATAGAAAAACGCCTCATCGTGCTTACGTATCTAATTGATAATAATTATTATTTATTGACTTTTACCTGTGTGTGTTCGAAGTTCATAATCACATCGGCACAGACTTTTGTTCTACACTATTGTAACTTAAAATCATTTTAGTATATTTTTATTACTTATCATTTACTAATATTATACGATGTATACGGAGCTAACTGCTTAAATACATATTCATGATAAATAGTAAAAACACATATTAGTAAGTAGGCACCTATAAATCTATGCATTATGAATTAATAGTTATAAGTATAACTAACAGCAATTAATATACTAATAGTACCTAGAAAATATATCAGAGGTAGGTTAGCTTAGCCTAGTTGTATTAGAATTTAGAATAAAATTAAAAACATTTGTACTTACTTAAAGGCAGTAATTATAAACAGAATAATAAATTGTAAACACCTAGAATGTTGTTTAGTAAACAAATCTATTACGTTTTCTGGTTTTACATTAATTTACATTAATTTCACTATGAATATCTAATAGGTAATGCTACTCATTTAAACGATTGTCTCCCATCGTCGTTATAAATTATAATATAACCCTCTATCTAGTAGTCTCCAAGTGAAGTTTCTTTTACCAAAAATTTGTATTTTATTTTGCTTTGCTTTTGGACTTTTAATAGTTTTAAAGTGAGGTATTTAATGATTTGTCTCCATCCGAAAATGTCTTATAATTTATCGGTAGGTACGTCTCTGTATCATTTTTCTATAATATATTTTATGTTAAATATTTTAAGTATTTAGTTTAATGTTGCACAATGTACCTACCTACACCTGGTTCAAAAAGATAATGAATTATTCATTTATTTTTTGTTAAATACTTTTTTTCATCACGATAATCTTACACTTATCCAATTATGCCGAGTAAGAGTAAAAAAATTGAACGACTCAGAGTTCACTAAAATAGTAAAATGTAATGGACCGATGGGCGTTGGGACATTAACCCATGTTTAAAGGACCATTTATCTTCCTATTGATTTAATAAATGCTTATGCCTCCAAGCATCAATGTATTTATTAAATTGTTATTTTTAATGTTTTGGGGTTACTTTGTTTATTTTATTTTTAGTGATTAAAATTCAAAAGAAGCCAAAAAAAGTTGAACAAGACAATTTTTTTGACAACACGAAGTCACAATGAATATTTCTGACTTCTGTTAAACTAAAACTGCATTGTCTGAAAGCAAAATCAATTTTCCGATTGGTCATTCGTCCACTTAAAAGTGGTCGGTGGACGGTGATTGGTGGTAATAAGCATATAATTTTACTCTCAAGACAATTGAAAATTTTATCGTAAACATAATATAAGTAGGAAGTCGTATGTAAAATCATTAAATAAAGTAAGTACATTAAACGTATTCGGCAGAGCCACTAGCAACTGGGGTGTGTTTGGGGACGCTGGGACATTGATATAATGATATTAAATTAATTTAGGTACTCATTACGAAATAAATTGGTTAGGTCACCACAAATTGAATTTCCTCCAGTCAGTCGCAAAGAGGATGGGAAGGTCACCACAAATTGAATTTCCTCCAGTCAGTCGCAAAGAGGATGGGAGACTTTCAGAACTTCCAGGTCTTTGGATCGACTTATAAAGTTATAACAAATAATAATATGTACTACCATATATATTACAATATAAAATCAACAACCAATGCAACGCGGTGGAAAACTCCCACCTTTTACACACGCGTCATGTTTATGACACATTATCTCTAAGATGTGACCATATCTATTTATTTCGGTTCATGTTTAAACTTGTGGATACAGCATAATATAATGCATGAAAAAAAGTTCTGGAATTTTGTCAAGGATAAGCGACTGAACTCTTCCGACTACCAGTCATATTTTTCACATCATCGTAACCTTGATTTATACAATCAGATACTTCTAAGTTATAACTGTTTAATTTATCCATCGGTTATTACCTATATGTACCTATAGTTATCCTAATATTTGGCATGTCCTGCCCTGTACTCCTGTAGTTGATTGAAAAAATATAAAAAATGTTCTCTTATTTTAGGTTTACTAAAACGGTCATTTTAAAGATGCCTTACATCGTAACACAGGGCTTCCACAGTTGTAGAGTTGCTTTGATAAGCTGCTCCTTATCCTTCGTTTCTCATTCACAGCCGTAGGCGGTGGAAAATCTGTAAGCTAACATAACTGATAGATACCGATACCGACATACCGTTGAACCTATACACCGCAACACCGTTACATCTATTTTCAATGTTTAAATGTTAGGTAGTTTTTTTATGACTCAGAAGATTTGGTGTGAGTGAGAATCACCGTTTTCTCTCCATTAAGTTGGCCAAAACGTTTATATGTTTACAGTTTAGTGCAGTTATAGGCTAGTTGGAAACCTATGCCGTATCAACAAGCAAGTTTTCACAGGGATGCTAAAAAAAACGGTTTAGGTAGATGCTAAAAATCGTTTTGTCTTTTCGTATGTCTTAATATTGCTTACTGTCTTACTATAATGTTTGGTCCTATCAATAAACAGCTTTTTTTCCAGTGTTTCCATAGTTAGGTGTTTCTGACACCTATATGATTATATAATATATTATGAATAATGAATACCTATATACGTTTTGATGACCATGCTATCATAATTATTGATTTACATCAATAAATATTAAATACCATATTTCTGGTAATACCTTTACGAAAACTCGTTACATATGTAACGACTGGGGAGTCATGGGTGATTTTTCACATTTACCATTGATTTTATAAAATCAATGCATTTACATAGTAAAGATATTATTATGTCTAAAGTTCTTCACGTGCTCGTCGAGAAAGGTAAAAATAATGGAGGTAGATGGCGCTGTCGTTATTGTCGTTTGAATTGCGAAGACCTAATGGCTAACGCCGATTTACACTAAAAAACCGAATAGATTTAAGTCTATATAGATAGCATTTAATATAGTATCTATCATAATACATTTTAAATATCTATTAAATTTTTTATATATTTACAACATTTAGTATATTATATTTTCAACACAAAATCAAAATCGCTTTAACAATCTTTATGACGTTAAATAACAAATGCGAAATTGTATTAAAGTAAGACTAAATAACTTGAGTAAACTCTTAAACTTTTTTAATTCATTATAAAACAAAATTAATGTTTTTTTTTTAAAATCCGTGTCCTGGTTTTTACCTTTCATTTTCACCAGGCCCATTGGAGTTTTAAACTACAATCAATTTATAACACACATTTTTCATTCGTTTTAATAACTTAATTTTATTATGTTACACTTATATAATGTATAAAATACCTAACTATACCATATAGGCTTTAAGTCTATATGAATATAATATTATGCTTGTCTTACTGGTACTTACAATATTTGTATAATTTTATAAGTATATTATGCATGCGTATAACTTATATATTTCATATTTCAAATAAAGTATATAAATTTATCAAGCGGTTGGGGTGATATATATTTATACATAAATAGGTACTTTATGTATTTATACAAATTAAAAATTTGTATTCATTTTTTAAATTTTATGATGAAATTTGCAGGTTTTAGATGTAGGTATTACATCTGCAGGTGCGTCAAAATCGTCTTGCGTAAGTTCACACATCACACTATATAGTCTATAAACACGCGTGACTCTGTAATATTAATATAATTATTGTATACCAATGGGCAACGGCACGCGCACTTATACGATACACGCATAACTTTAGATGATATTTCGATGTAAACTATAATAATATTATGTATAAGACGTATGTTTAAAATCTGAACGTCGATACTTATGTTGAACGGCGCTGTTGCCCAATACATTTATAAACATATGTATTATATTGGTTTATTAATTACAATATTTGGTTCACGACGTTCACGTATTCTAGGTACATTAGGTATGTGTATAGACTATAGGTATCTATGCTATCAACCTATATAGGTAGTTTGATTGAAAATTACTTCGGCTTCACGACGCGTATCAATCAGTGTTTAAAGTAACGACTATAAGTCTATATAGAATCCATATATATATAATACGTACCTAATTATATATGCGTATATAATCCTCTCGATGGCAGAGTCGGGATCGACCTCGACGTAACTCAGTAATATAATTGTGTTAATACCTTATAGGACGCGTGCGAAATCATTATTACTTCACGTTTTCGTGTAGGTGCGTTATACGCTTATATTATATTATACACATATACGAAACTTGTACGTACTATATAAATGTTGAGGACTCGAAGGACATACTTGTAGGCTGCTGCAGTTTCAGGCATTATAAGTTTTGTCTAGTATATATATATACTTACCAATCGACTTCGCAATTAACCACGTATAAACCTATTTAGATACCTATACAATTTACAAATTTGTTATTTCATGTAGTATGTGCGCCGCATGTGTAATAACTCGGTGGTAATCGCTTCCGGATTGCAATTGCACCTGCAAGACCCATCATCGGATGTAATCTGCGAGGAAAATTGAGTGTCATTATACCAATATGTACAGAATGGTTTACCAAGCATGCTCACCTCCATATTTTCCTTAATGATGGATTTATTCAAATTATAATCTTTGAAATTTCCAAATGTACTTAAAGACCATATTTTCAAGTGCATGAAATTGTTTGTGCTATTTGATGAGTTTCCAGTGGTGGTAAAAACTTCTGTTTTCGCAAATGAGAACCTCCATTTTTACTGTAAATTATTATTTTTTAAATTTTAATGTACCTAATCCAAAATTTGAACCAATAGTTTCTAAATTATTACAATTGTTATTCTATAAGGATAATTGTCCTTAAGAATGGTTTTAGGAGAATATATAAATTTGAACCAATAGTTTCTAAATTATTACAATTGTTATTCTATAAGGATAATTGTCCTTAAGAATGGTTTTAGGAGAATATATAATAGTTAGAACACTGGATCTAGTAGTTATTACTTATTATACATAAACCATTTTTACAAATTATAAAATATGTTGATATAGTAATACAAATAGAATAAATACTATTACTATTAAAATTGTCTATTTACCATATTTTCCATAATATCTTCTTATAATCCATTATGATAAATATGGAACTATTATCCTTATACTATACACAATAAGTTAAATAACTCAAAAACTATACACTTTCAAATTTTGATTTTGATACATTGACATTTTCAGAAAAATTATCTGCTAAATAATTTACAGCATTACTGAAAAAAAGTATCAAACTTGGCGATTCAAACTGTATATAATATTTAATAAGACAGGTAATAATTATATATAAATATGACAAACCTTATATAATATTATTATTGATATTATAATTTATAATATACCAAACCTTCAGTTACGGTAAACAATATTTGTATAAGATAAGGAATAATCTAAAATTGCTAAAAATATCCATAGGTAATAGTGACAATAAAATAAACTGTGGAATTTAAACTTAATTACCGTTAGGTAATACTTATACCTAACTATTATTTTATTATTTTAATTTCTTATGAATTTATGTGGTTAAAACATTATACTATTGTACTACGAATAAGATGGCTAATGTATTTTCATATTCGAATATAACCACTCTGAAAATTATTTCAAACAAAGTCGTAATTTTTGTAGGTAAATGTATTTTTTTTCACCTGCTATAATTACTCGAATTAATTTTGTTTTACTGCAGATACCTGAGTATAGGTGTGTATAATAGCCTAATTATTCTACGAGTTGTAAAATTATTATTTGTAATTT